AATTATATTGAAAAAACTGCAAGGTTTGTACCGAGGTAATATCATTCTTCCTAATAATAAAATTACTTCATATATCAACCTATCTACACACAACTTAAGCCAAGATGAAATTTCATTTTTGAACCTCGGTTTAAACATGCACATACGTCGACCATACAGTAAAGCTATTAAGGAAACTGAACTTGAAATGCTGTACAACGAATGTCAGAAACTCAAAAAACAGAATTTAATTAATTTCGACAGTAGTTTGCATAGCCAACTATTGGCCGAAGCACATCGCCATCGCGACGCATGTCATAAACCTGCTCTGTCGACAGAAATGCTCCAGGCTGCCAAACGCCTCCGTAGCAATCCCGACATAGTTGTGCGAAAGTCTGACAAGTCCAATATGTATGTGTTGATCAACAAAATTGATTACTATACGCAAATAGACAATATATTATCTGACAACTCAAAGTTTCAAACCATCGACAAAGACCCTACCACCAATATCAAAATTTCTGCCAACAAATTAATAGCGCAAATCAATAAATGTTCATCATCTGTCAAATTCGCCCCCATCGTCGGCGGATACAGTCCCGGCTACATCTACGGGAATATTAAGACGCACAAAGTGAACAATCCACTCCGACCCATCATTTCGCAATGCCCTACACCTACATATTTATTGGCAAAGGCTGTTAACAAACTTCTGGAGCCATATGTACCCCGCACCTACTCAGTCAAATCAAGCTTTGAATTTATTGATATCATTAATGATAACAAACGGTGCGTTGGGCATATGGCTTCGTTGGATGTTGAAAGTTTATTTACCAACGTTCCAATCGACTATACCATACAAATCATCTGTAATTACATCTACAATCACCCAACACTTCCACAACTTGACATTCCTCCCACCCTGCTCATCGAACTTCTGAAACTATGTACTGTTGAAACTCCGTTTGTTGCTCCAGACGGTTCTCTCCATTTGCAAATTGATGGTGTTGCAATGGGATCTCCGTTGGGACCGCTGTTCGCAGAATTCTATATGGCCGATCTCGAATCAAGGATATTTGCTGACCCTACCAACAGACCTCCAATATATGCACGCTACGTTGATGACATTTTCATCATTTGCGAAAAGGTCACCGATGTTTACAACTTACAGAATATATTTCAGAACAACTCCCATCTCAAATTCACCATCGAATTTAGCACCGAAAAACAATTGGCCTTTCTCGATTGCTTAATTGAAGAAAAAGAAGAACAGCTAACTTCGAGGGTTTATGTTAAACCGACTAATTCTGGTCAGGTCTTAAATAATCATTCGGACTGCCCCGACCGCTATAAAAACAACGTCATCTATAACTTCATTCATCGGGCATATAAAATCTCTTCCGATATCAATATTTTCAATACAGAACTGATTCGCATAAAGCAGTTTCTCATCANNNCACACTATTCCACCAATTAATAGATAATACCATAAAACATTATATCAACAAAACAAATAATCCTATAACTCCAACCTCGACAAAAACAATTATACCTCTATATTATCTCAATCAAATGCATGACAACTACAAAGTTGATGAATCAATGCTCAAACGTATCATCAAATCCAATGTCTCCGTTCCCAAAGAAAGCTACCGACTGAAGTTCATAATTTATTACAACACCAACCGAACATCCAGCTTTATCGTTAAAAATAACAACACACGTCCCCCCAACAAACTAGAGAGAACCAATCTCGTATACCGATTTTCTTGTCCCGTGCCACACTGTGTTGTGGAGAGTTATATCGGCCATACGAGAACTACTCTCTCTAGAAGACTCACCATGCATACACAGAATGGTGCCATTAAGGACCATATGGAACGGGTACATCATCAACCGCTTACGAGGAACATATTGGATCCCAACACAACGATCCTTGATTATGAACCCGATCCAGTTCGCCGTAAAATTAAAGAAGCCCTTCATATCAACAAGCATAAACCCTCACTCAATAAACAATATAACAGCTTTGATCACACTTTGCAATTGTTTTCTCAATATCACGATATCACACCTACTGTTGCCGTTGGGGTTGATCCACAGGATCTGCGTGTACCACAACGATATGAATATCATCCTACGTTGAATACATTTCAACCCATCAACACGCAGTTTGTGACCCAGCGTCATCCGACAACCGTCATCGCGTCGTTGGATGTATTATGTGATACCTAATACTTGATCTATACATAGATATGTATCTTGCATGTACATATATGTATTTATATTTAACTATGTATCCGTAGGTCTGATGTGGAAACTCGTATCACACATATTCAACCGCAATAGTTGTATTCACAACGCATACACAGCAATATTATATATCTGGCGCACATGTCATTCGTAATTAGTTTTCACTAACGTTTCTCAACCATGTTAAAACTTTTATAAAATTTCTATATTTTAATTATTTTACTAAACATTTTATTTAAATTACATTATTTTATTTATATAATCTACATAAACTTTAGTTATTATGATATTTACAACAAGGTTAATTTATTTCACAATTTAATACATATTTTATTTTCTATATTTTCACATTTTACATTAGGCATTTACTTTAATTAAATTATATGTTTAAACAATATTTAGGCTCTGAAGATGGCATTACGCCGAAACAGCGCTGTTAGCTTTATTCCAGTTTTAGATAAATATGAACTCAAACAATACCGCCTCGTTGAATGTCTTATAAAGAAGTTAATTAATGCAAAATGGGCAAACAATTTCAATGAAATTTGCATTTCTGAAAACCTCGTTCCTAAATATATATATATATATATATATATATATTGAGGGACGAGGTTTTCTTTTATGCAAACATCGTTGAAAATAGAAGCCCATTTTGCGTTAATAACTTTCTTTAGTAGCAACTCAACAGTTCTGAACTTTTCAAATTGATATTTATTTATTTTATATATTATTTCAAATTTATTTATTAACAACACGGTGAGGTTAACAGCGTTGTTAGCCTCACCATGTCATAATAAAGTTATTAACGCAAAATGAGCTTCTATTTTCCACGATGTTTGCATATATATATATATATATATATATATATATATATATATATATATATATATATATATATATATATATATATATATATATATATATATATATATATATATATATATATATATATATATATATATATATATATATATATATATATATATATATATATATAACATTCACCAATTTATAAAACTGGACAATTTTGCATTTGGTGATATATTGATATAAATGCGTTCTCTTACCATTTTTGTATTTGATAGATTTGAAAGATATGTACCATGTTAGAGGATACAAATGTAGGATTAGAAAATATTATTTTAATATCTATACAACAATTTTTAATATATACGCATCTAAACAAAATGAATTTGTACAGAAGTCGTAAACAAGTTGCAAACATTTCATGTTTTTCTTACCTATCAGTGGACGTAAGGGTCAATTATGAAGAGAGCTAACATTATAGTGGTATTCAATATAAGAGCCATCATTTTTAAAAGCAGCATTGTTAATAAACCCTGCAGCCTTTTGTGAATTGTAACAATGTTTCACTTAGATATCAAAAACTCATTATTACGGGTTTCCAAAAAATCATGGGATCAAAGGTGAAATCAATCAGGGAAAAGCTTGGGTCATCTGGCAATCCACGCCAACTTGTTCACTCTATAATCTCCTGCATACTAACTCTCAACCTCTTTATTCTTATGAATACTCATCTCTCAAATTCACTCCACTCCAGTCAGGCTTCTCAACTGGAACAGCACTTATCCATGTTCATGACAGTTTGATCAATTTTTGTAGAAATCAGAATTGTATCAGTCTGGACTTGTCAACTGCTTTTGGCACTATTAACTACAAAATTTTATTCGGTAAACTGTAGTCTAAGTTTGGCCTTAAAAATCCTGTTCCTCCTTGGTATGGTTCATATCTATTAAATCGATACCAGTATATCATACTTGATTTACATTATTCATTAACTCTTCCTTTGACTAATGGAGTTCCTCAGTGCTCTACACTCGGACCCCTACTTTTTACTACCTATATCACATCTATATCTGACATTATTGCAAAATTTTACGTTCTGATTCATCACAACGCGGACAACACTTTTTTCTTCAGTCAATTCACCTCACAACTGGAAAATATAGGCACCTTAAGCTTACAAGGACTGACACCCGGTAAAATTTTTTCAAATTCAATTTAGAAAAATCTTCGATCATGTTTCTACGCATCCGGCAACAACGCTCAAAATGTCCCCTTTTATTAATGGCTCTTCTCTACTAGTTTCGAACATCATCAAACTTTTTTTGATCACTACATCTCAAATAAAACCAAATTCTTGCAACACAACAATTTGGTTTATTCGTCACATTCTATGCTATTTTTCTGTCGAGTTTACATCAATTTTAGCTTTCAGTCTTGTCTATCTTGCCTTGGTTATTTCAATTCTTTTATCTGGTGTCTCACTGCACCTTATTTCTTCAATTTTACAGGTGCAAAAACAACTTGCCTATTCATCAATGTGTTATATTCAAACCCATGGTTATAACCAAACAGGTCTTAAACAAACAACAATCACAATATGTTTACAATCTCTTGCATTTTCAACAACATTCCGGTCATCAACTTTGATCAAACTTAACTACTAATTTGCATCACCCTGATGACAAGTCTTCTATCACCAATAGGAATTTTTCATTTTGTGTACCCTTTCTGTAGAACAACTTGCCCTCTTCTGTCAGAAAACAGCCATCATTTAAAGCCTTATTTGTTTATTTAGGCATTTGGGTGCAATGTCGATCAAAACTTATCATGAGTGACTCTGATGCTATGCATAGGGCACCTACTACGTATTATTTATTATAATTTTTATTATTATTGATCACTAATTCCTATAAAAGTGTAAAAAACTTATTAAAGCTAAATGTATAATTGAATAATGAAAACTAATTTAAATATACTTTAAATTCATCAACAGTGAGCTGGCCATTGGGACAATCTTTAACAAATCCTTTGTACCACTCTTGAATTTCCTGATCTGTGAATTCTGTATTTATTCTTAAATCATCTAACTGTTCAGGTTTCAATTTGCTGTTCTGTTTGCCCATGCTCGATAATATTTTATAGGAATGTTAAATATACAGCCTTCTTTTGGTCTATAAAAATTAAATTAAACTTTGTAAATAATATTCTTTTGAAGATAAAAATAGATGAATATCAAAATAGAAAAATCTACTGTCAAAACAAGTGTTCCAACAACAAACAACAACAACACCGAGATCAGAAGTTGTTGGATAAAAAATTTTCCATGTAAAAAAAATCTTACGCGAATAAACCAAGCACTGTATTATAAAACAACAGCAGAAAAAATGAATAATGCAGATAGATAGGTTTCAATGCCAAAAATATTTTCAAAAATGTAAGCAAAATAAAATCACAAACTGCAACCGGCCAGGCTAGACTAATTGCAGAATTAAAACAAACCCTTTGTTTATGCTATGCAATAGGAACCAACATTTATTCAAGTATTACAGGGTGAGTGAAGGGAGTTGAAGATGTTGTTACACGTTTCAGGGGATGGAAAAGTTTGAGATTTTTACGCCTATATGAGTTTTATTATCTTTGCTTAACTTCACACACCAACTTGTTGTTATGTTAAGGCATATAAGATAAGAAGGGTTGTTATACGTTATAAGGAGGATGCGTGACTACTGACCATTATGATAATATAAATACAACTTCAATTTAATTACAAATAAATATGAAAGATCATTTATAAAAACAGTAAATAAAAAAATAAAATCAATGTAAAATAAATAAAAATAAGATCAAAATAAAAAGTGAAAAAAATGCAAAATACTCTCTCATGATCTAATAATTAATACTTGAATTAAAAAAATAAATACTAATACTAACTCTGACTAAATTTAAAAATTAGATTTTAATTTAAAAATAATTAATAGAATTAAATTTAAAAATAAATACTAATACTAACTCTGACTAAATTTAAAAATTAGATCAAGCATGTAAGAGAATCACGTGTTTGCGATGATGTGGTGTGTAGGTTAGCGTCAGCCGTTGAATTTAAAAAAGCGTGCAACCTACTACGTCAGGCCCGTCAGGGGGTTGGGTTAGCTGTTAGCAGCTTTAGGTAGGTAGGTAACCTCGGAATCCCTATGAATGTAATGAAGCAACGGAAGACAATGATGGTTCACTCGATCGAGATGGATAACACTGGAAAATAACTAGAAAAAGTTATTCACAAAAAATAAAAAATAAAGACAAATCTTTCTCGCTTAATTTATAAGTAACAAAAATTGATGCTTGTAAATTTACAAATTGAACTTTTAAAAATTAATGGAACGCTGAAAACAAATTTAAAAGAGTTTAATAATGAACACAACTAATACCAAGGAGAGGCCTATTCGTATTCAATCAATCAATCAATCAATCAATCAATCAATCAATCAATCAATCAATCAATCAATCAATCAATCAATCAATCAATCAATCAATCAATCAATCAATCAATCAATCAATCAATCAATCAATCAATCAATCAATCAATCAATCAATCAATCAATCAATCAATCAATCAATCAATCAATCAATCAATCAATCAATCAATCAATCAGCTTATAAAGCACTATTTCCGCGATGTTCAACAGCGCTCCTTAATAAATTTTGAAAACAGATAGGTCTTGAGATCCGCTCTGAACTTTGCAAGTGATGGAGAAGTAGTCAGAGAAGTAGGTAGAGAGTTCCAGAGAAAAGGACCAGAAAAAGCAAAAGCAGATTTGGCAAAAAACGTACAACGTTTATGGATTGAAGCAGGGCATATATATAAAAAATATATTTTGGAAATTCCTTATTATCGATACTTATACCATGTGACAGGGGAGCCGTAATAATTTTATAATCGTTGATAATTTCGCCATCAAACATGTTTCGGGTAAAATCTTAGCACTCCATGCTTTGAAGGTTTTGTGAGCAATATTACTTCAATTATAACAATTGCTAAAATTTGCCTGGAGATTCAAAAATCTTTATTAACGTACAAGTTGTCCCAGGATTACTTAATTACTAATGCTGTTCGTTTTGTGTTACTGGTTACCAGGCAGATGTGAATATTCTCAGAAAGCCTCAAATAATGTTAATAGAAATATATCTAGTGAGGCTTTTGGTAACATTGAAAAATAAGTTTTTTATTTTTACTTATTTTGATTTAGGCAAAATCCTATATTGGTAATGGGAAATTCTATTCAAATAGATTACCAGTTGATTGACAGAAACCAAACATTATAATTATATAATAATAATAGAAATTTTTTCAATCGTTTTTGTTTGTTATTCATCTCGAAATAATCTTCAATAACAAATATTTTAAAAACATTTACTTTAATGTAAATAAAATACAAAAAAATTTAAAAATTTAAATTTGTTATTCATTTCAAAATAATTGAATAATAAATAATAAAATGCATCTGTGTTTCCAACCGTTGTGCTGACAAGAGTCTTAGTATTCGTATACATTTCCATCACAAGTCGAACAAGATATTCTGGAATGAGTTGTCGACGTAGACTCCACCTGATTGCTTCACGGGGAACTCGATCAAATGCTTTTTCAAGGTCTACAAAAATGTGTGATAGTTGTTTATGCTTTGCGAGGTACTTCTCTTGCAGTTGCCGAAGGATGTAAATTGCATCAATTGTTGATTTCCCCGCTAGAAAACCGAATTGATAATTTCCGATTGTGATGCACGACGTTAATCTTCTCTCAATGATTTTTTCGACAATTTTCAAGAAGTGTTCTAACAGACGTATACCCAGATATGATGAACAGTTCAATGGATCACCTTTGCCTTTGTATAGCGGGACTGTCATGCTATAGTTCCACTCAGTCGGCATTGAACAATTTCTCCAGATTTCACGGCAAAGTTGTAGTAACGTTTGGATACCTGCCGTACCAGATGCTTTGATAATGTCATTTGTGAGTCCAGAGGGCTCTGCTGCCTTTCCATCCTTCATAGCTTTCAGAGCTTCTGTAAGCTCCTCTACAGTGATGTCTGGAATCGGACCTTCGATGGGTGGAGCGTCAAAGTTAACATTGATGGGATTTGTTGCGTTTAACAGATGGTTGAAGTATTCTCTCCACTGTAGCTTGATCTCATCTTGTTCAAAAACCATCTCATTTTTGTTGTTTTTGATATATAAGGCACCAACTATGTCTTTTTTCGTACGCTTTTCTTGTTTTGCTATACGATACAGAGATTTCATTTGTTCACCTTTGCTTTTAGTGAGCCATTCTCTGCACTGATCTGTCCGAGCCAGTGCAACTTGACGTCTTGCATAGTTGTTCTTCTCACGGAAACGTTTATGGTCATGAACAGACTTTGATTTTTGCCATTGCTTGTATGCAACTTTCTTTTCAGCTATTGCATTTTCTGCACTGTCATTCCACCACCATGTGTCACGTTCATGCTGACGTTTTGTACCAGTTACCACAAACTGTAGTTGCAGCGTTCATTAAAACGGTTTTGTATGTACTCCAATCTGTACTGGCTTGCGATTGGTGGTCTAACTGTGAGGCGACAACCTGTTGAAATTTTTCTCGATGAATATTGCTTTTCAGCTTTTACGTTTTGATTCTCCGAGGCATTTTTTTATACTTATGTTTTGACAGTTCGACAACCAGGTCTGCCCCAAGGAGTCTATGTTGGGCGACACATGATTCGCCAGGTATAACTTTGACATTTTTGAATAGCCTTCGGTGTTATTGCTTGTCAGCGAAGAAATCAATTTGCGTGGCTGATAGTCTCCTTTTGTATGTTATGAGATGTTCCAACCTTTTTCTAAAATATGTGTTCAGTAAACAAAACCCGTGACTTTCAGCAAACTCAAGGATGCGGTTGCCATCTTCATTCCGTTTTCCATAGCCAAAACCGCCATGTACGTTGTCAAAACCATCTGTTTTCTCTCCAACGTGGACATTGAGATCGCCTCCAATCAGGATTGTTTCAGATTTTGGTATTGTTGAGATGGTGTCAGAGAATGCAATCCAGAAATCATTTTTCATCTCTTCTGATTCGCCTGTCTGTGGTGCGTATGCAGAAAAAATGATCATTGTTTGCTTTTTTATGCGAAGCTTGATCCACATGAGACGTGAATTAATTCTTTTAACATCCAGTACTTCTTGGGCTAGCGGTTCTCTGACAAAAATTCCAACACCATTTTGGTCGTTTTTTGACCATTCCAGAATAGTTTATATTTTTCTTTGTCTGAGTTGACATGACAGACACCATTCGATTGCCATCGGGTCTCCTGAAGGCAGCAGATGTCAATCCTTCTATGCTCGAGCATTTCTGCGATTTCCATGCTGCGGCCAGTCAGTGATCCAACATTGAGCGTTCCAAGTCTAAGTACCATAGAGGGTCCATTCTAAATTTTTTTGCAACATCCCTCCGCTATTGCATACTTCTCAGGGATTCTTGGCACCCCTTGACCACTTAAGGCCTGCTGGGGACTAGGGGCCGTTGTTTTTCTTTGTGATGGCATAAGAGTAATTTGGGGAAAAGTTTTTACATCTGGACACCCATCCTGACGACAACCACCAGTTATAAGCGGTGGGCCCAGCCTTTCGCTCAAAAGCACGCAAGGCAGCGTGGATACAGTTTTATGTCATGCCCAGGGCCAACTTTTCGAACCACCCATCCAGCAAAATATGCCACTGCATTATCGATAGTGGTTGACATAGTGTTTTGATTTAGAAACTCCAGTTCTAAAATTGCTTCCTCAAAATTATGTTGAAATTGTTCTTTGAGTATTTTAAATTCAGAATCTTCTTTAATTGTTCCTGTACATTGCCTGAAAAATTAGATAATGGTAAACATAAAATATCTTCTAAAAGGTATGTATTTTTAATTTTTGAATAACCTGTTTTCCCAGGGACAATCTCACATCTAAAATAAACTCGTTTAAAGATGGTTTCCAACTGTTGTACATTGGGATTGTCATTGCATTTTCCTAAGTCAAATTATAATATACGAAGTTAAAGTGTTTTAAAAATTACTTTATATATTTTCAAACCTGCACTTCTGATAAAGCTGAAGAACAACTCCAGATGATCCTGATTGAATTTGTACGTTAGAATAAATTTTTGGGTTGGAAGCAATGATACAATTTCAACAAAAAATGTATAGTGAAAAAATAGTTTCTAATTTATAAATTTTTCTTACAGGAATTTACAACCAATCTTGAGTTCATTTCATCATTGATTTCTTTAAGTTTTTTAATTTTTTCTTTAAATGCCTGAACATTTAATTTATATCTCTTTATTCTTCTACTGCAGCTGTATAACACTTTCCTTGTTTTAGTCAATGTCGTACTTAATTGATTAGCTTTCCTTTTCAAACTTCTCGGCGTCAAAGCATCAATACAAGTCTGTTACATTTTAAGATTTCAAGTATATATTCCAAAAATTTCATAAAGTAATTTTTTAAATGACAATTCAGCTTTTTGAAATAAAAGCTTTAGCTTTTTAAATTATGCAACTGAAACTCGAAATGATTGGTTTTTATATACGTAACACTAACCTTGTCAAATATCGTTGAAAAAACATCTTTTTGAAGAAAAATTTTCAAACCAACTTTATGAAAACTTTCTGGTGTAAAATGGTTGCTACAAATTAAAATCTTTTTTTTTCATCCTTATTGTCAATGTATATTTTTTAATGAGGTTTTCCCATTGCATTCTCTTAATTTGATTGCAATATCATTGCAATATCATTTTTTGGCAGTCTGAATTTAAATTTAACTTAAATAATATCAGCACAAATTATTTACACAACTTTGAGTTAACATTACCAATGCATTTATTATGTTACTAATATTATTTATTACTATTATATTATATTATTATATATAATTGTTTGCTGATTATTATAATTATATTGTATAGTGTTATACTTTATAGCTATAGTATAGTGTAGTCTAAATTAAATTAACCTGTGTAAAGTAACATTTTCATTTAAATAAGATGAGTGGCATTTTGTAATGGAACACACAGGCATTTTGATTTGGTTGAGAATCGGTGTCTGTCAAATCAAGTATTAAGCAAATATTTTCTAATTAAAAATGTATTATTGTTTTTAATATTATTTTGACAAGTTAAGAATTAAGATTCTTTAATAGTTTAATCTCAATGTCATGTCATGTGTACTTAACTACTTATGTATATGTATGCATGTATGTATATATATATGTCTATGTATGTATGTATGTATGTACTACATATTCCTACATGTAACATACTATGTGTAGGAATGTAAAATGTATAAAACAAAATGTATAAATGCAGAAAATTTTACTAATCCCTTTTCTTTTTTTAAATGTACTAAATATAAGTATATAATATATAAAATGCAATACGAAATCGAATTTAAAAAAGAAACGAGACAAAAGCTTCCCAAGCGATAATTTCAGAATAGACGATTAATCAAAGACGCTGACGAAGACAACGACGATGCTTGAACCATAGAATAAAAAACAATTTTTGTTATAAATTAATTTTTATGCCATATCCATTATATTCATGTTTGGCATGTATAGCCGATTGGGTAATGTCAAAAGTATATTCCAACGTTGATTGTGAGAAAGGTATGCAGCGATAGCCTCATCATTCAATCCAGAAAACAATCAATCTTCGTTTAGCGTCGAGAGATCCAGTTCCTCGAGGTAGGACGTTGTTTTCTCAGCCATCAACTTTTTGCGCCAAATTAGAGCTTTCATGTCTTGCTCGATTGTTTGCGACCAGGACTTTTTTAGACGGCTTTTGGGACGTGTTCCGGGTACTTCAACATCTGCAAGAGAAGTTATGGCACTATTTCCACTTCGTTTGACATGACCAAACCACCGCAGACGGTGTTGCCGGCATTCGTTCTTTATATCATCTAAATCAGAACGACGCAGGATTTTGGTTGATTTGATGTGGTCCTTCAGACATCAAAGTGATGTGAGAGTATTATATATTTTTTACTTTCTGCCATTTTTATTTTTTCATTAGTTTGCATTTGCACGCATTTTTTTCATTTATATGTTCATCCAAAGAGATGTGTATATTTTGTATCATTATTTTTTCTATATATTTATATATTTTGACCAGACAATAAAGAAACCTGACACCTAATTTCCATCTAAGTTCATTTTGACAAAGTCAATATTTCCCTATATAAACATCAAAAAGCACTGATGATGATTCATTCGTAATCGAAATATGGCCTTATTTGCAGCATGAATTCGAAAAATAAGTTTATTTTGAATTTCAATAAACTAAACGTTCACCAAAAAACTTTAGTGAGAAAAATTGAAAAAACGAACTACAAACATATTAACGCCAAACATTTGGTAGAATTTATAGAAAATTGTAAAAATTATGGTCTATTACCAACATATATAGATATAGATATAGTTAGCAGTGAACCAGAACTGTTTAAAAGAAAAGTAGTTGAAAATCTCATTGAATGCTTGACTAAAATAGGTACATGAACTGTCTCAAATTGAATCAAGAGAAAACTCAATTTTTACCTGCCGGTACATGGCAACAGCTTTCTAAAATTAATATTAATTCAGTCAAAATTGATAATAATAAAATACAATTCTGTGAAAATGCAGCAAACCTAGGACACATTTTAGACTGGAGATTATCTTTCAAGAATCATATAAAAACCATATCTAAATCATGTGTCAGTTATACCGCGTTCGAAAATCTTTACATCAAACAACCATGCAGACACTAATTCATGCGTTCGTTCATTCACGGTTAGACTACTGTAATAGCTTGTTCCATATCAAAGAAATCTATTGCTTTTCTTCAATCGATTTAGAATAGAGCTGCAAAAATAACTGTTGTGTTGGACGTAGAAAGTATGACCATGTGACACCCATTTTAAGAGACCTACATTGGCTATCAGTGTAAAAAAGAATCAACTATAAGATTTGTGTGACTATGTATAAGGCTATGAACGGGTTGTTACCAGTATATCTGGTAAATAAAATTTAGAAAAGCCAGCTTCTTCAACGGGTGTAAAATTGAGATCAGATTATGCCAACTTACTGGCAGTGACAACTACTCAATTACAAACAGCAACTAGATATATTGCCGTGTCAGGACCAATTGCCTGGAACAGTCTTCCGCAATTGCTCAGAATGCCTAGACTGAAGCTTGGTGATTTTAAGAGGAACTTAAAAACATATTTATTTTTGACATAGAAATTTTTTATCGATTTGTACTTTATTGACCTTCACTGATTTCATTTATAATAGATAGCGCTTCCGAGAAATTTTAATTTTATAATGCGCTTAATAAATTGTTGATAATATTAATAAATATATATATATATATATATATGAATATATATGAATATATATATATCTGCCTCAATTGCCAAACGTCATCAATAGACAGCAACTACACACCAAATATAAATACGAATATAACACACAAGAACGCACCATTAACAACAATCCGTTTGTCTCTTCACGCCATAAAACTCAAACAATTTGTTCACTAACTTCATTATTTGCCACACCTTAATATTTCTTTATACATATTTATTGCTAAATAATATTATATCCAATTGTTAAATATCTAATAATTCTTCAATAAACTGTCATATCATTAAATATTATTATCGACTTCCCATAATTTCTGCATTACTTCTCGTCACTATGCTAACCATGTACACTTCAACTACGATAATACACAAACAATTTTACCCATTTTTCTTTTAAATTTATTCGTTTATTTTCAACAATATAATGAGTTAATTATAAAATATAGGTATTTATTCATTTATTTATTCATTTTAATATCTAATATTCTATTTTCTATTTCTTATAATTTATATTATTAACTCCTCATTTGGTTTTACAATCTAGGCTCCGACGATGGCATTAGCCGAAACGGCCGTCAGCCAAACTTCACATTTTAATAAAGTTGAAACAAAACAGCTTCGTGTTGTTGAAATTTTATTTTAAAAAGTTCTAACTGCAAAATGGGGTGTAATCTTCAACCGAACAGGTTTATCTGAGAACCTCATACCAAATTATATATATATATATATTAGGAAGAAGACCAAGTTCTATACAGTTGTTCAAAATCAAAGAAGAACTTGGTCTTCTTCCTAATTTTACCAAACTAACCTCGACTAGCCGATCAAGCTTAACTACCGAGCAAGAACGTGAGCAACGCCTACTACATCTTAATCGGGAGTTAGATAATAAACGACATATTGTGAACGATATTACAACTAATTTAAACAATTTGAATCAAAATTTTAACAACCTTCAAATAACCAATGATGATAAAATACCTATTGAAACATGGTTACAACAAACAGCAACTTCACAACGACACCGCGTCAAACTTCGTACCAACAATAAACTTATAAACCTTTTAAAAGCAAGCAACAAAGATAATAACCGTTTCATCAACCTTAGTACCCATAATCTAACTCAACAACAAATAGATTTTCTAAACTTGGGCCTAAATTGCCACTACATCAACAAACCGCGAAATATTGACAAACAGATAGAGGTAGAAAAACTAATGGAAAATATTTTACAGTTACAACAAAAACACAAAATAATTGTCAACCCATCAATTGCTATACATCTTCAATCCGAATCGAAAAATCAACCATAAAACTTGTTAATGCTGAATCGTCGGTGGATTTTTTGAACTGTATATATATATATATATATATATATATATATATATATATATATATAATAAAAAGTTTGTGTGTGTTTAAGTTATTGTTTGTAACTGATAACTGGATCAAGATATATGTTGAAATCAAATGCAAAACGTGAAATAAAAAACAAATATAAGGCAAAACATGAAATAAACTGCCATTTATATACAATCAAGGTGATATGAGAGTATTATATATTTTAATTATATATATATATATTGCAGAGCCGGCAGTATATTTCACGTTTTGCCTTATATTTGTTTTTTATTTCAGGTTTTGCGTTTGATTTCAACATATATCTTGATTCAGTTACAAACAATAACTTACACACTCACACACATACATATATATATATATAATTGTATTGTTCCTCGTGCTGTTTTATTTTCATCTTCAGTTTTTGTTGTAAAACTGTGGTCAAAACCGTCAAAACTACCGTGTTTATTTTTACAAATATCTAACTATGGGCTATGTAAAAAACTGATTTTTGACTTTACTAAGAACAACTTTTTTTTACAGGATATGATTTAATTTGTGACGTTCTGTATGTTTTATTTTATATACAATCAATTCAACACAGGTGTGCGTTACGATATCTCAGTTTATTCAATTAACGTCCAAAAGATACTAAATATATAAAGATACAAATTACATCTCTTTTAAAAGTTCAATTTTATTGTTTTTATTAAAATTACATATATTTAATTAAGAACATAGTCCTTGAATCTAACAAGAAGTTTTGATGAACGACTACTCCGTGTCCTCAGGATGGATTCTTGGGAAGACTGTGGTGTCATCTGTTGGACTGTTGCACTGAGGATGAATTGGGGATTCCAACCTTTGTGGTTGTGTTGCCTCTAATGGTGGAAAATTATCTGTGCTATCATCTACTGGTGCTGCGCATATAGGTGGATCTTCTTTGGTGTAGATGAGATCTCTTCGGTTCCGTCTTAAAGTTGAACCATCCTCTGTGTCAACAATGTATGATTTTGGAGCTTGATGTTTAAAACCAACAATTCCACGTTTCCATGTTTCATTGTGATTCATACGTCCTACATCTCCTTCGTTCAAACTTGGAAGAGGTTTCGATTTACGATCATAATACTTTTTTGTTGTTGCTGTCTGTAAACTAGATTATCTCTTGAATCTACGACTTTTGAATGTAAGTTCTGACTTGTTGGAAGCTTGGTTCTTAAAGAACGACTCATCAACAGCTGCGCTGGACTAAAATCAAGACCTGATGTTGGAGCATTTCTGTACTGTAAAAGTACAATATATGGATCTGTACTGCTGTCATAGGCTTTTTTAAGAAGATT